ACTGGAGGCTAAAACATAAGGAACAGTTGCTGGAATTGGGTATGTCTAGTTTAATGAAGAGAAGGACGAGGGGAGACATGATAGCAGTGATCCAATATCTCAGGGGTTGCCACAAAGAAGAGGGAGTCAAGCTAGTCTCCAAAGCACCTGATGGCAGGACAGGAAGCAACAGGTAGAAACTAACTAAAGAGAGAAGCAACCTAGTACTAAGGAGACATTTCCTGACACTTAGAACAATTAATCAGTGGAACAACCTGCCTCCAGAAGTTGTGAATGCTCCAACACTGGAAGTTTTTAAGAAGAAACTTGGACAGCCATTTATCTGAAATGATATAGGATTTCCTGCCTGAGCAGGGGATTGGACTAGATGACCTCCAAAGTTCCTTCCAACTTTATTATTATTACTATTATTATTATTATTATTGATATATTGTTGTTTGATAGCTTGCTAGGAGGAATAGATAGGCATGCAAGCAGGCAGGCAGGCTTGGAATTTATAAATTAGATGCTCCAAGGAAAGTAGTGTTACTTGAAATTTGGTTAGTTGGCAGTTCAGAATAGAAATAATGGAATGTGGCTGGTCAGCTTCATCCCATGAAGAAACGCATTCCTAGTAACATTATTAATCTTTAATCATGGTATGGTTACCTGGAAAGTATTTTGAATCTTTGTAAAATAAATGTCCTGTAGGTTAAGGATATAAAAGAAGTTGACAATGAATTTCTGTTGGAGTGAAGTGACTTCATTATAACACAAATGGCTGTCCAGAGTTCAATTTTGCAAAGTAAATAAAAAAATATGTTCAAGGAAAATGCATCTGAATTTCCAGATTAGAAAAACTGATTGTGAATAATAGATCAAAGGTAAAAGAATAGCATCTATTTGGTATTATTTTTATCAATCAGTTAATTAATTAATATATCACATTACTTCATGTTGGATTTGCAAATCAGGTTTTGAATAGAAAAAAAATATTTTAAGTGAGAAAATATGAAGTGAAATATTTTAAGAAATTCAGTTAATTAGAAGTTGAAAATAATGAAATTCTGAATATAAAGTACATACCATATTTTATGGATCTTTACCTACCAAAGTGTTTTGCTTACTATTTGTTATAGTACTTTAGAATGATATTTGTAAAATGTCTATTTTTAATTATTGCTTTGATGGTTATATGTCAAATCAGTATTGATTCTTAGCATTGTAGTATTGTTGATTATCCTTTTTATTTTTATTTATATCTTATTTATTATTTATATAAATCAAGGTGATGAGCACATCTAATATTCCTTCCCCCTCTTGTTTTCCCACAACATTAGCTCTGTGAGGTGGGTAGAGCTAAAAGAGAGTAACTGGCCCAAAGTCACCCTGATGGTATTCATGCCTAAGGCAGGACTAGAACTTACAGTCTTCCAGTTTCTAGCCTGATGCCTTTAACCCCTAGACCAGGCTGGTTCTCAGTGTAGAGGTAGACTTTCCCCAGCATTACATGTATTTTTTGACAAGTAAGTCCTCACATGTATTCAGAATATGATCCTAGTCAATTGTGTCTCTAGATTGATTTATTTAATGTTTGTTTGTTTTCTTGGCTTCAATGTATTTCCAGGAGTCTTCTCCAACATTAACATTCCAAAGTGTCATTTTTCTATCCTACTTCTTTTAATTTCAATTAATTCCAAACAATTCATAACTTTTAGCAATTCTGACTATTAAAAACTTCATTTTTCTCCTCTATTCTGTCATTTTCATCTGAGCCTCAGTTCCAATTGCTCCATGATTGACACACTACTGAGATTGACAGATACCCCTTGGTGTCTGATGTTTAGAGGTCATATAAGCAGTAATAGATTCTGTTCCAGAATTTAGCATCAAATATTGGTTTTCAATGTCAGAAGGGTTAGAGTTAAATGCCAATTAACTCTTTCTAACCTGAACTCACAGGCAAAGCATCCATGCTTTATTACTTCTGTGCTTTTGATATAATCTCTAAACCTCATTGGGGAAACTGATTTCTGATCATGTTTTGGTAATTTGCTATCGTGAATTAAGACTCCAGATTGTATCCAAATATTCTTGTTTGAAATTGGGCAGTTTGGAAAAGTAGTGCTATATAACAGAGTGCTAATACATCTAAATGGCTTGATTTTCTCTTATTTGGGAATAAGAGGAACAGCAATAACAGTTTGTTGTTTCAAATGTTTAATATACAGTATTATTATTCTTGAATTGTACAATGTACAATGAGGGAAAAATTATTTGATCGCCTCCTGATTTTGTACGTTTGCCCACTGACAAAGAAATGATCAGTCTATAATTTTAATGGTAAGTTTATTTTAACAGTGACAGTCAGAATAACAACAAAAAATCCAGAAAAACGCATTTCAAAAAAGTTATACATTGATTTACATTTTAATGAGTGAGATAAGTTTTGATCCCTTATCAGTCAGCAAGATTTCTGGCTCCCAAGTGTCTTTCATACAGGCTATGAGCTGAGATTAAAGGGAGTGCTTCTAATTTCAACTTCTTACCTGTATAAAAGACACCTATCCACAGAAGCAATAAATCAGTCAAATTCCAAACTCCATGGCCAAGACCAAATAGCTATCCAAGGATGTCAGGGACAAGACTGTAGACCTACACAAGGCTGGAATGGGCTACAAGACTATCACCAAGCAGCTTAGTGAGAAGGTGACAACAGTTGCTGTGAAGAAACACAAAATAGCTGTCAATCTCCCTTGGTCTGGAACGCGATGCAACATCTCACCTTGTGGAGTTTTAGTGATCGTGAGAATGGTGAGGAATCAGCCCAGAACTACACAGGAGAATCTTGTCAATGATCTCAAGGCAGCTGGGACCATAGTCACCAAGAAAACAATTGGTAACACACAACACCATGAAGGATTGAAATCCTGCAGTGCCCACAAAATCTTCCTGCTCAAGAAAGCACATATACAGGCCCATCTGAAGTTTGTAAATGAACATCTGAATGATTCAGAGGAGAACTGGATGAAAGTCAGATGAGACCAAAATTGAGCTCTTTGGCATCAATTCTATTTGCTGTGTTTGGAGGAAAAAGAATGCTGCCTAGGACCCCAAGAACACCATCCCCACTGTCAAACATGGAGGTGGAAACATTATGCTTTGGGGGTGTTTTTCTGCTAAGGGGACAGGACAACTTCACCGCATCAAAGGGATGATGGAAGGGGCCATGTACTGTCAAATCTTGGGTGAGAACCTCCTTCCCTCAGCCAGGGCATTGAAAATGGGTCGTGGATGGGTATTCCAGCATGGCAATGACCCAAAACACACGGCCAAGACAACAAAGCAGAGGCTCAAGAAGAAGGACATTAAGGTCCTGGAGTGGCTTAGCCAGTCTCCAGACCTTAATCCCATAGAAAATCTGTGGAGAGAGCTGAAAGTTTGAGCTGCCAAATGTCAGCCTTGAAACCTTAATGACTTGGAGTGGATCTGCAAAGAGGAGTGGGACAAAATCCCTCCTGAGATGTGTGCAAACCTGGTGGCCAACTACAAGAGACATCTGACCTCTGTGATTGCCAACAAGAGTTTTGCCACCACCAAGTACCAAGTCATGTTTTGCGAAGGGGTCAAATACTTATTTCACTCATTAAAATGCAAATCAATTTATAACTTTTTTGAAATGCATTTTTCTGGATTTTTTTGTTGTTATTCTGTCTCTCACTGTTAAAATAAACCTACCATTAGAATTATAGACTGATCATTTCTTTGTCAGTGGACAAACATGCAAAATCAGCAGCTGATCAAATAATTTTTTCTCTCACTGTATATACTGTGGTTCTGTTTCTGTGTAGCTTGAAACAAATACTTTGTGGAGAGAGATATTGTATCAAGTATCTCCATATGATTCAAACATTGTGTTGTAACCATGATAAGAAATCCCATTTTATAACCTGTTGCAGGAAAGCCTCAATCTGCAAGGATAGAATTACCTCTTTCTTGCTACTTATTGACATTAAATGGACACATTAGCCTTTGTAATTTGTGTATAAACTTGTATTTGCTGTTGGATTTACTGTCCCAAATGCTAGCTGGAGAATTTTGGGAGTTGAAGTCCACACATTGTAAAGTTGCCAAGGTTGAGAAACGCTGCTCTAGGCTAACCTTCCCCACTGCTGCTGAAACTAAAAGCTGGGTTCATGCATGGGGGACTGGGGATGGGGAGATGAAGAAACCTGCAAGCTGGCTCCTCAGATGTCCAGTAACTAGCCAGCCCAGTGTTTTTAACTGAGCCTCCCTGTACAACAATTAAATCTCCTCTCCCAACTTTCAGTGAGATAAAATGAGATTAAACTGCATGGTCTTTCTAATGATTGGCAAAAGAGGGTTTTTTCTCCTATTCTTTGTCTCTTAAAGAAACAATATAATCTTCTACTAATAGCAGAAGAATCTAAAACTGGCCATTAGGGTGCTAAGCAGCTGAGGCATTTGTACTGTTGTGATATTAGCAGTAAAACAAGCACTATGAAATTCTTCATCATTCTAAACAGAAAGGTTTCTTCTAGGTTTGTTCTACTCAGATAATTTGTCCTAAATGCATCAGATATATCAGTTTGATGTATTGTATACGGTAGTTTTTGCTGAATTTGCTTACAGTTGCAAATGTGAGCGGTTTGACTTATCTGTGCTTTTAATTTCCAGCAAACCCAAGGATAGGGTAATTGATAGGTTATCTTGCATACTGTAAAAAAATTAGTGGGCAATGTTGCATTTCAGATCTACAACTGAACCATTTCATTCATTATCTTTTCAATAATTAGGACCACAGTAGGTTGTTGCTAAAATATTTCTTTATAATTTGTTTTCATTATGCTGCATTATTATTAAGAAATCTCACTCTTTAAATTTTTTATTTTTTTCTTAAGAAAATAATTGCCAGGCTTGAAATGAAGTGTAAAACTTTAACATTGTGCTTTTCAGAGTTGGTCTCTCTGAAATGCTAATATCATTGCATTTTCTTAAAGGAGGCCAAGCAACTCTACGTAGAATATAAAGAAACAAAAATAAAAGAGAAAGAAGAGGCTTTGGCAAGAGCTGAACTGGAAACTCTTCAGAGTGAGTTTTTTTAGTGCAGTTTTTATTGCATTTATCCTTTCTAAAATGGTATGTGTGGGAGGCAGGGGGGTGGGTGGGTTTTCCACCTATCTCAGCATGTCCCATTTTCTACACAGATGGAGTCTAACTGAAATCTAATTCTATAGATGGAGTCAGATTCCATCTATGCAGAAAATGGGTTTACTAAGGATCAGATTAACCGCAATATGAAATTCCGAAAATTACTTCTGAATTCCTGTTGTCTTATTGCATTCAAATCAATTAATCAAATAAGAAATAAGGTTGGATAAAACACCACAAATATATTAACAATTCCAAAAGATATGATTTTATATAATGTCTTGAAGAAATAGTAATCACTTAGTTTTATGCTTTCCTAAAAAAAAAAATTCTGGTAAATTTTACAGTAGTTCCAAATTGGTTTGATTACTAAACACAATAAAATATGCTCAAAGTGATGTGAATGTACACAAATATTGCTTGAGTAACTTACTCACAAAAGGTGTGATCCTTTGATAATTTGAAGTAGAACCTTTGAAACTTTTCTCATCTGTTTCATCTTTATTTAATTGAAATATGTAAACTGCTTGCTATGTATAAAAGCTGTGAATATTATTTCTCCTTTTCCTAATCTTATTTGTTTTGTAATTGTTCTGCATCCTAAAATATATTATTTTGCAGGTATTATTGCCTCTTGATATTATAATTTTCTATTTTCCATAGATTGCCCCATTTTTGTCATATTAAGAAGTAGGCAACATGATGATGTCATGTATTCTTCCTTAGTGTCCATTGGACTTCATACCCAACTGACTTTTTTAAAAGATTATAATTTTTATATAAAGGCAAAAGAAGAAGGAGATAGTAGAGGTTGAGATGGTTAGATAGTGTCATTGATGCCATGAACATGAATTTGGCCAAATTGGGAGACAATGGAGAATAGGGAGGATCATCATGTTGTGGTCCATATGGTCATGAAGAGTCGGACACAATTTAGCAACGGGATAACAACAACAACAACAGTCTCTTATAAAATGCAAATATAGAAATTTGCAGAGCAAAACACTAGGCTATAACATTGTAGATTTTTCAGTCATGCCTTTGGGCATCAGGATGTTTTTTTAGGATAGTCAAGGCTAATTTATCTTCTGGCAAATGTATCTTTTTCTGATTATGTCCATCATAATTATGGTTTTAGTTAATAAGCAAAGTTTCTCATAGTAATTATTTTATAAGTATATCTGCCATATGTTCTGATGTTCTGAAAATGCCAATGTGCTCATAGTCCCAAAAATTTGTCTACTCCTTCAGTGAATCTATTTCCAGTCATCTACATGCTATATTAGCAAACCCCAATATAATTTATTTCATTATGGCTGCCTTTTATCTTTATACAACTTCTATCTAATCCCACCTGGGTTTTTCTTTCTTTATTTTGTTTTATATAATGGAAAATAGGGAATCAGGCTATTAATTAATTTCAAGTATTTTTATATTGCTACATTTCTAGATGGGTTTACAAATCAAAATAGCAAAATAATGAAACCCCCCCCCCCCAAAAAAGTGACTGGTAGCTGACTACCAATTGTATAGAAAACACGGAATAATCATCTCCAAAGAAAACTATATTTCCATTACTTTTTGGAAACTGACTAAACTACTAGAAAAATCTTGGTATGGGAGTATACAATATTCCAAAGAGTCTGGGCAGCAGTGGGACTTGCAGTTCAATCTTAGGGAGTATTAATTGGGTTAATAATAGTTTTACCAGTAATTAGTAAATATATAAATTACTGCTAAAACTGTGGTTTGATTTAATTACATTTTGATCACATCCTTTCTACAAGCAGATTACTTGCAGAAGTTATTTCTATTTCTTTATTTTATTTTGTAAGATTGACTAGCATGCAGAGAACTGACTATCCCAAAGTATATCTGTATAATGCATACTGCTTCAGATGGTAGTTCTTGTTGAATTAGAATTGTCCAACAATAAGATGGATGACAGATTTTGATTTCACTATATTAACAACTGCACATATCACAGTGCTTCATAGAAATAATCTTCAGCTTTTCTTGTGTGGGAAAAAGCTAGGGGCTCTTAAGAGAACAACAGGGTGTAAAATGTGAAATCTATCTATTCAGAATCAAGCTTTCTGTTACCTATAAAACTTTCTGGTGAACCATGTTTTGATATATGGAAGGGCAGTAAAAAGCAACCTGCTGGCCTCCAGTTTTTTGGACTTCTACTTTCCTTGACCTTGGCATTGATAATGCTAAGGGATTGTTGGAGTTGTAGTCAAAGCATCTGGAGGATATCAGGTAGGATATACTTTTAGTAGAGTGTTCCAGAAAATCTGTTTAACCTCAAAAATAAAATTAATAGATAGAAAATGAACCATGTTGCTCTCTCTTTCCCTGGTTGTTGAAGAGATCTAAAATATTTCTGTTCTCTAGTGTTGTGGAACTTGCAATTTTGAATCAGATGAATTGTATTTAGTCTCCAATATAATTCAGAAAACTAGATGAGATAGTTTTTTGCCCCATTTTATGACCTTTCTTGCCACAGATGTTAAGTGAATCACTGCACTTGTTAAGTTAGTAACACATTAAGTGAATCTGGCTTCCTTATTTGCTTGTTAAAAGATAACAAAAGGTAATTACATGACTCTGGGACACTACAACTTCATAAATATGAATCAGTTATCAAGTGTCTGAACTTTGACCATGGAGATGCTGAAATGGTCATAAGTGTGAAACATTGTCATAAGTAACTTTTCTGTGCTGTTGTAACTTTGAATGGTCATTAAATGAACTGTTGTAAGTCAACACCTACCTGTACCTTGATACATTCACATAACACTGTTTTTACTAGTGTTGCATTGGATGCTAGTGGGTTTCCAAGTACAAATCAAAGTAGATGTTGTCACCTTTATAGACCTATATAGATTGTGACCAGATTTCTTGCAGGACTTATTTCCCTGATAGCTTTTGCCACCTATTAATTCTAGCAAAATGGATGTGCTCTAGGTCTCTTCTATGAAGCAGTATCACCTGGTGAGCTTTCTCTGTTATGAAACTTATCTTGGAACAGCCTCTGCCCAAGACATAAATAATTTTTTTAATGGGTTTATGTAGTTGGCATGTTTTTATTTCTATTCACTACCTAGATTTACTTAGATGGGAAACTATACAAACTAGTTAAATAAATACAATTATTATTCCATTAAAATTATTAAAATCATTATTATTTAAATTTTATTTACGCATAATACAGTATCCAGCTAATGTTGGATTCCTGAAGAGGAATGAAGAAAGAGGAGTGATTAAAACTTAGGTTTAAACACATAATATGAAATCATAGTTGAACACTCTCAATATATTGTTATTTGGAAGATATCTTCGCCAACCAAAACCCCAGCCTTTTACATTCATTTTCATAACAGGCCTTATTTATTACTTGAACAGAAATATATTTCAGTTAGAAATCTAAGTGTGCATCTTTCTAGAAACTTGAACGAGCTTATGACTTTGATTTTTTAAAAAATGGTTTCAATTATTTGTATTATAGTGTTATTTTTCCAGTATACATTAAGAACTGGGTTTGCAAGGAACAATACTATAGAAGAAATATTTTAAATACATATAGTGGAAAACATTTGCCGTTTTTAGTATTTTTCCTCCATTTTATTTTGCAAGACAATCTGAATTATAATCATAATTTGAAAAGTGCTTTAGTCTTAGCTCCATATTTCAGAGTATGCATGATTTAAATCTTATAGGCCTAGATAATTAGCTTCTGATTTTTTTATGATCTTTACCATATGGACAACTTATATTTGAAGAATTAGATGTAATATGAATATTGTGTTTGTAATATGTGGCCATTCAGAATAATATTTATTTTCACTGTAACCTCTTTAATTAACGCATATGAAGCTTATGGAGTTATGACTCCTTTTACTAGTGTGCTAGTTTCTAGATTGTAACTCCTGTTACTTGTTATTCTGTACAGTACAGGGTCTCCAATTATTTATCTTGCCAAACCCTTTTTGAAACAGAAGTATACTATCATAATTCCAGTGGTACTGAAATTCATTTCTGAAAGAACATAATACTTTGATTAATGAGGTAAATTTGCTGATTTCAAATAGCTCTTTTTTCTTTAGCTGTTGTCAATATTTATAAAAATAGCATCTTAGATATATTTGAGTGTAGTAAGTATCTTAAGCATGCTTTTCTCCAATATTTGTCATTTAAATTCTTTCTTATTTTTCACAGAGGGAAAAAAACTAAAAATCAAGAAACCAAAACCTGAATTTCCTATATATACTGTGGCTGAAACAAATGCATTTATACCATCATATGATCATGGAACTTCTATTGAAGAAATTGAGGAACAGATGGATGATTGGTTGGAAGACAGGAACAAATCATTAAAAAGAAAGGCAAGTATATATTTATTTTAAAAGGATAAAGAAGAGTGAAGAGCAGACAAGAAATTATACATTGACATATTTATATTCTAATATTTGTAGGTTGCATTTGAGTAAGCAGTCAAAATAATGGCTATCAAATCTGACAAAGGCAAAGTCTCTCTTGTATAGCAGGTTAGGACTGAATTACTTAAGATATATTTAATATTTATAATTATATGTCTGAAACCACTATTTTTTGTAGAATAAATACATTATTAGAACAGCTGTGCCAATTTTGCACTTTGTTTTACTTGTCTTATTGTTTGAAATATTCTCATGAAGATGAGAAGTAACACTGAATGAACACTCCTTTCATCCTGGCACAAAAAAGAAGTCTGTAGATTTTTATTGAGCTCTGTGTAGCCAAGTTATTTGAATTATCGGAAAAGAGTTAGGGTTCAGTCCTTTAAACCCCAGATTTATAGTACATAAATTCTCATTTCCTTATATTTATTTTCCCAATTATCTTGATATATCAGAAAAAGATAAAAAAGATATACTTCAAGACGGTGCAAAAGTTAATGCTGTTTCTATTGTAATTTGTTACCATATGCATACTATTATATCTGGCAGTATAAATGCTAAACCTGCCCCTGTAAAAATGCATGGGTCCAAGTTGAAGTGCTAAGAAGTAGAAATGTGTAGGGTGAATCATTTGTTTAGAAAAATGGACATTTCTAAAAGATGAAAGGCAAGTGAATTCTAGATGTCTAACTCTGTATAAGCACAATAAGAGAACCATGATTGACAGCAATTCATTTACCACACGTTGAGGAAATGAATCTTGGTTTCTGCAAGGAAGCCATAATGACTATTATCTTGGATTTCCAGAGCACATTACCAGTTACCAATGCATGAAAAAAAAACTCCACACAATTCAGAATTTAAAAACTATTAATGAGATATATGTCTTTCAGAGGATTACAATATGTCATGTGGGTCTTCTTGATGACCAGTAATATACTTGGAGAGTTTCATTAAGATATTTCTAAACACAGTGAACTTTTAAAATATTATATATTATTTTTTCTCATGTGGAAAATTTCATGGTTGTAATTCTTAGACAAAATATATAGAGAGAAGTCTTTTGACCCATCTTTTTAAATAGAATAAATTTATTGAATGCAGTGTAACAATGTGATCAATACACTTGTTTCAGAATACTACAAAATGATGACCATAGCATAATATCATAAGATCTCAATACAGCAGTTGTTCTTTTCTGGAAATAGCCAAGAAACCACATTTGGATGCAATAATAATTTAATCACCTTTAGTGTTTCTCACTACATCTATAACATTAGCTTAAGACTCAGTGAAATAGTGAGTAACATGCAGGCAACAGGAAATCTAATTGGCCTATATCTTATGCTGTTAAAATGTTATACTAATTCTATTTTTTTTTTTAAAAGATATTAAAATAAAGCATCATGTTTAAAGAAGCATTAAGCTATTTAAACTTTGAAACTATATTTCAGATTCTTGGCATATGTATGTAAGTTTCCATTTTTCAAAGATATCTCCTTAATATGACTTCAGAAGCTACTTTTAAAGTTCTTTGATTTGGTAGGCCCCATTTCAGACAACCTGATGTTTGTATGTATTCTTCCCTTTCAACCAGAATTGATCCAGTTATCAACAAGCATTATTTTAGATTGGGATAAAATGAACCCACCTACAGGTAGTCTTTGAGTTACGAGTGTAATGGAGCCTGCCCATTCCATTTGTAACTCAAAAACTAATAGAGTGAATCTCATACCTCGAACGAGATCATTCCCTTGCTCGTTAAGATGCATGCTGCTCATTAACTACATATGAGGTACCTCAGGGTGGGGAAGGCCATGGAGGGCCTGGTGATGAAACAGGCCCCTAAGGCTTCCCTGACCCACTAAGATACCTCAGGCTTCCCCCTCCCTTCCTACCATGCCGGACTCACCTGGAAAAGATCCATCTCTTCTCTGCTGTGGTTTCTGCTGCCACTTGGATCTGAGGTGCCCTGATCCAGCCTCCAGAGGCACATGGAAGCATCTACCGGCTTCAGTTTTGTTCTCTGTTGCAGAAAATAGAGGCCTAAAGTACCATGAGATCACATGAGATCAGTAGCATGAGATCTCACCCCACTGATCTTGCGTTACTTTAGGCCTCCATTCTCTGCCAACCCACCGAAGGCCTGGAGCAGCCAAGAAAGCAAAGGATCTTGATCTTCGCAGGGTGAGTATTGAAGGCCTAGTGCCTAGAGAGACCCAGGCGAAGGTGGAAAGCGAGGGAATAACCAGAGTGAATGTTGCAGTGCTAATGCGGTTGCTCATAAAGCGAATGACTGCTATGGTGCGGCAACATTCATAATTTCGGGACATGCTTGTAAGCATTAGGGGGCGTTCATCATATAACTTTGAACAAACATTAAGTCAACGCTCGTAAAACGGGGATTGCATGGATATGTATTTTCATGAAATAAGAGCAGTTTTGAATCTCAGCCTATGGTCCGTGGACCCCTAGGAGGCTGCACTGTCATCATAGGAGATCCTCAAAAGCTTTAAGAAATGTTATGATTTAAATCTTGAGTTGTCTTGGGATCCATGGTCATGGTCTTTGGCCACAAAAAGTATTTAAAAGCAGTCAGTGATGAAGAAAAGGTTGAGAATTGCTGCTTTAGAGCAGTGGTTCTTAACCTGGGCAATATCGCCCCCAGGGGGCAATTTTGTTTTTCAGGGGGGCGATTGAACGAAAAGGGGCGATGCGGGGTCCGAAGGAACGAAAAGGGGGCGATATGGGAGTAATGGAGCAAGAGACTTTGGGACACTTTTGAGACTTTTTGTACAGTGAATCGCTGTACATCTGTCATACAAAAATATCAGATTGCTCACTATTGGTGGATTGAATTGTGTTTTCAAATGTTCCTCCAGCTAGCTTCAGTACAGAACGCGTACATATGTGAATATGCATCACTTATCTTCATGCACGTTGCGCAGCAGCCTCTACCCATACAGTGGCACACCATTGGCCAGAATGGGCAGTGATGGAGGGGGGAGCACTTTTTTCAAAACATCGTATGCTGAGTGGCTGTACCCTATGATGTCAGCTGTAATGTCCACGTAACTGTTAAAACTAGGTTTATCGACGTCCACGTGTGTTTTTCTAGTGTTCCAGTGGAGTCGAAAATTTAATTTGCAGGTAGTGCCTTTCATTTCGAAGACCTCTCAACATGGCCAAGAAGAGGAAGTGTTGCCAATATTCAACGGAATACCTAAAATTGGGATTCATTCCATCTCCTTCCAACGTATACTTTCTGTTTTGTCTTCTTTGTGAGAAAACATTTTTAAATGAAGCGATGAAGCCTTCCCGACTGAAAGACCATTTGGTAAGAATTCATTCAGATAAAGTCGACAAACCGGCATCGTTTTTCCAATTCTTAAAGGCCAAGTTTGAGGGTCGAAGCACTGTTGGGAAGTTATTTGGAAAATCGTCACTCAACACCGACAAGGGGCTCATTTGTTCCTATGAAATATCTTTGTTGATAGCAAAATATGGCAAACCTCACACTATCGAAGAAACGCTGATTTTACCAGCAGTGAAAGAGATTGTTGCTACCATATTGGGGCCCAGCGCAAGCACTATCACGCAATCGATTCCTTTGAGCAATGACACCATATCAAAAAGAATTGATGAAATGGCTGCTGATGTGGAAGAAAAGCTTATTGACACCTTGAAAAATACAGAATTTGTGATGCAGATTGACGAGTCAACAATTCGTGAAAATGAAGCCTTGTTATTGGCTTGTGTCCGTTTCATCAACGGAAATGAAGAGATCGGGGAAGAACTGTTATTTGTTCGAAATTTAGCCACCGACACAAAAGGTTCTTCGATATTTAAAAAGGTTGAAGAGTTTTTTAATGAGAAAAACATCCCTTTGACAAACGTCGTAGCATGTGCAACCGACGGAGCTGCATCCATGGTTGGACAATATTACGGATTTCAAGCTCATCTAAAATCGGTTGTACCTGGAGTTATGACTGTCCATTGGTCGTTCATAGACAGCACCTTATCTCAAAAAATTTGAGTGGCCGTTTGCACGAGTCTCTACGTTATGTCATTAATGCTGTGAATAAAATTAAGTTGAATGCCTTGAACAACCGACTTTTTCACAAGCTTTGTGAAGAAAATGACAAGTTTGAACGTCTCCTCTTGCATACCGAAGTAAGGTGGCTTTCAAAAGGAAAGTGTTTGCGACGATTCCACAAACTTTTGACACAGTTGTCGAATTTCTTGAATCCATTGACCCAAGTCTAAGCAGTTCTCTTAAACTTTGACGTCTGGATGTAGCTTATCTCGCTGATGTTTTTGACAAACTGAATGAAGTGAATATAAAGCTGCAAGGAAATAAAATCAATTTTCTTAAGGCCAAGGGAGTAATCTGCTCATTTATTTCCAAATTGGAAATAATGAGTCGCCAAGAGCTGTATCAGTTCCCAAGCCTTGGTAATGAATGTGAACTCCAAGGAGAAGATTTGGACGTTTTTTGCTGCCACTTGAAGCAACTAAAAGAAGATATAGAAATCAGATTCTATGATCTGATAAATCTGGAAGTGCCCACTTGGGTGCTAAATCCTTTCACAGCAGACTTTGTACAACTTCATCCCAAACTGCAAGAGCCACTGACAGATCTGAAATACGACTGTGAAGCCCAGTCACATTTTCAGAGTTACGTCTACGAAGCTTTTTGGGTGAAAATGAGGAACGCTTACCCCATATTGTGGGAGGAAGTTAAGTTGCTTCTTTTAGCCTTTCCTTTCACTTACTTAGTGGAGAGGGGCTTCACCACCGTCTAAGTCAAGGAACATGTTGAAGATCTCTGAGCATGGTGATTTAAGAATGCGATTAACAAAAATGGTTCCAGACATCAAGAAATTGGCATCAGCTTACGAAGCACAAGGCAGCCATTGATGTTCTTTTTTTTTTTTTTTGCTTTT